GCCCTCCCCACATCCCCCCACTCCCTCACCTTATCCGATTTCCTCTTCTTTGCTACAGGGAGAGACAGAGGAGGGACAAGTTTGACCTTTTCTGGTGGATTTAGCCTCAAGCCCAGGGCCACCCCTTTCCCACAGGACGAGCAGGATGTGTCTCCCAGCCCTCAGGGCATCAGGGACACCCCAGTGCCCCCTCACCTTTCTTCTCAGAGCCATAGGACCAGTCGTTGTCGTTGATGTCATCGTTGTCCTCCTGGTCACTCTCCGACTTGTTCATGTTGTTGCTGCTTGCGATCCTGTGTGGGGAGAGCAGGGAGGTGTTGGCTGGGATCTGTCCTGTGTGTCCCCTCAGCTCCCCAGGATCCATCCTGTGTCCCTGCTGGCACCTCAGCATCTGTCCTGCACCCTCCTGTCCTCCCTGGCACCTCAGGATCCATCCTACATCCTCTCCGACAACCCAGGATCCATCCCATATCCTCCCCAGCACTCCAAGATCTCTCCTCCATCCTTCCATCCTCCTTGGCACCACCCCAGGATTCAGACAGAGGTCCCCAGAAGCCTCCAAGGACAGAGGGGACAGAGGACCAGGATTCCCACTTCGTTTGCCTGGGAGCAATGAACCAGGGGGCGAGAAGAAAGAGAAGCTCCAGGGCTGGGGGAGGGCAAAGCCAGACACCCCCACAATGAAAAGGGAGGAGAGGGAAGACCTGGATGGCAAATTCTCATCCCAGGCTCACCACCAAACATACTGCAACCTCAGGGAGAAGAAACCCAGACTCAACCCCTTTCTTACCTGAATTTCCCCACAGAGAAGACCCCCCCAACCCCTCTCATACCTTGGTTTCCCCAACTAGAAAGACTCTTGGCCCCACACCCTCACTCCTTCTTGTGCCTCAGTTTCCCCATGGAGAAGACCCCCAACCCCACATCCTCATCCCCCCTCACGCCTCAGTTTCCCTCCCAGGAAGGTCCCCAGCCCCCGAGTTTGGGGTCCCACCTGCGGTTGGCGATGCGGCTGCTGTTGCGGCCCATGCCCAGGCACTTCTCCAGGTGTGGGGCGAAGCGGGAGGCGGCGATGCTGCGGCTGCAGTTGGGGCACACACACTCCTTGTTCTTCCACTGGTTATACACCTGCCCGAAGATGTCCACGCCAGGCTGGTCCACGATCTCTGTGGGGGGACACACCTCAGTCCCTGCCCTGAGACCCCTCAGTATGCTCTGGGAGGCTCCTTGGGGCTGCCAGACCCTCAACTCTGCTCCGGGGAGGCTTTTGGGCTCACCAAAGTCCTTCATGCTGTCGGGGTCTGT